ACTTGGGGTTTTTTCGTGCTATACAAGCTATACAATATAAGAAGGATGCAAAAACAATTAAAGATCTTGTTCCAAGTGCAAAGTTCACTTTTTCACTTGTTACATTGCTTCTTTAACAACTAAATGGAGTACTCATTGATTCATTTTTACTTTTCATGTAGGCATTCGTAGAGTACTCACCACACAAAGCAAATAGGATCTTTGTGACACTACAAACCGTTTTGAAGGAAGCCATGAAGATAAAAGGATGTAACAAGTTCAAAATTCCTCACATTCAAAAACAAAGACTAGAGAGAGAAGATCGCCCTCCCATTCCAAATAACTTGTGAAGCTTCCTTGCTAGTCAAGCACTTGCTAGCTAGTCTTCCTGCAACAAATTAGAAGAATGTAGTACCAAATTAGTTTTTTCAATCTGAAGCAAGAATGTAGTAGTAGCAAATTAGATTTTGCAAGCGAAGCAAGACATGTGCCTTACTCTTTCATGTTTGCATCTTCCTTCATCTTTGCATCTTTGAACTTCTTCATGTTGTAGATCTCGTCCACCTTCCGCTCAACGTGTTCAGGTACTAGTATTGTGTCTCCATCCATCTCAAGTTTGTCCACATCGAGGGATGAACAGCTTCGTTTCAAATTTGTCTATGCCATGTAGTATCCAAGTAGTGAGATCGTAGTCATCATGAACAAGACGGCAACGTGCACACTGCGAAGCTTGGCGGCGATCTCCAAGACGCGCCACCACGTGGAACATGCCGCAATGAAGCGCTTTGCACCTCGGACGGCGTCCGGCCGCGATGTCGAGGGAGTTCGGCACCACCTCGACGTTGAATGGGGCGATGTCGAGTCCGGCACCACCTCGACGTCGAACAGGCGATCTCGAGGGAGTCCGCACCATCTCGACGTCGTGCCGATCTTGAGGGAGTCCGAGTCCGCTCTCGTGAGGCAATCGTCATCTCCGAGTTCGGTCGACCTCCGCGTCCGTTCCTCCCATGGCGCGAGTGACCTTCATGGCGCCGGACTCCTCCATGGTGCGGCGACCACCACCATGGCGCGAGGCTCCTCCATGGTGCGACCGATCTCCTTGGCGCGAAACTTCCTCCATGGCGCGAAGCTTCCTCCGCGGCGGCGCGGCCTTGGCCTCTTGTGTCCTTTGAGCGACGAGCGGCGGCGAGCGCGACGAAGCGTGATTTCTTGGCCATGGATCCTGGAATGGGAGGGGCATTCCGTCCATATAAGGCTTTTTTGTGAAAATGGGCTTAGTGCCCGATGTATCTCGTTGGAGGGAGTATGTATCTCGTTTTCTGCCTGTCTTGCTCGTTGTGGATTAGTGTTTTCTTGTTCATTTCTTTTGTTTTTTGTTGAATTGCACACTCTGTAGTCTGCTTTTCTTGCAGAGCCTTTTAATCTTCTGTCACTCTGTTGCTAACGTGGTGAATTGATTTTCAGATTAGGAGTTGGGGATTGTGCTGCTCTGCTAAAAGTTTGGAGAAGGTGAAGTTATGGTGTTTCCCTGCTTGTTAGAGTCTGCACTTCTGAGTTTTTGATCAACTGCTCCTATGCGATTTTTGTCTTCTCAATCTGTCTCAACAGCCATGGCTGGGCAAACAGCCAAAGCAATGAAATAAAATATCATAGATAAGAACTCAGTAGGAGAGGCAACGAAAGAGAAGCTACTGGCGTCTCACGAGCAGCAAGAGTCTCCGGCTTCTTTAGGAGCAGGGGGTGTTGGTAATCGGTTCTTTAGCCGCTTTCTAAAATTTATATCACATCGAATATTTAGATATTAATAAGGAGTATTAAATATAGATTAATTACAAAACCAATTACATAGATAGAGACTAATTTGTGATGTGAATTTTTAAGCATAATTAATCCGTCATTAGCCATGTTTACTGTAGCACTACGTTGTCCAATCATGGACTAATTAGGCTTAAAAGATTCGTCTTGTAAATTAGTTGCAAGTTGTGCAATTAGTTTTGTAATTAGTTATATTTAATACTTTATGCATGTGTTCAAACATTCGATGTGACAGAGATTTTATGAGCTCCTATAAAAACCAAACATGCTCTAAATATGAGAGTTTGTGAGGACAGTGTCAACTCATAGTTTCTATATGTAGTTTCTAAGATAAAATAGAACAATAAATGATACATGGAAACTAACATTTACAACCATGGTTTCTATAGTATAGATTTGTATGTAAACAGAAATTAATGACCTCATACAAGCATCATAGAAAGAAGGGAAAATTGTGTTCTTACCTTTGTTCAGAACTCCAATTGTAATGTTTTGCCCCTATTTTTTTAACTTTGTGTTTTTACCCATGTTATTTTGAAATAAACCGTTTGCCATGTCCGTCAAATGGACAGGGAATAAATAAATTAAAAGAATTCCAAAGCAGAAAAGGATTGTAGAAATGACTACACTGCCCCTGACTCTTCCTCATCCAGAACATCCCTCATCGGTAGCGGGCGGCTCCATCGGCGGCGGCGCATCTGGCCTAGGGCGCGTGGTGAGGCGGTTGTTGCGGGCGCGGGGTGGACGCTACTCGCCAGCACTTGCACGTCTGCCGGCGGCGACTGCGCGCGGCGGCACATGACTCTGGTTGTTCAGCGTCTGGCAGGCGGACGATGCCGCCGCTGGTCTCCTTCGACGCTTTGGCGCAAAGTCCCGGCGGCGCCGCCGCCGCCGTTCTTTCTTCCCTTTCGAGCAAGGCTCAAGGGTCCCGTCGTGCAAGGACGAGACGCAGCAGCCCAATGCGTCGGTGGCAGGGGACTGCCCTCCGGCTTCCGCCATGGTGGCGGCGTCCTCGCCGTCGGGGAAGCCAGCGGGCGTCAAGGCGGCAGGCGGCGGCGGCAAGGGGATGATGAGCCGCGCCGCCGTGGTGGCAACTACGGAAGGTGCAGCAACGGTAGAGGTGGAGCGGCGCGGGTCCACGCAGCTTGAGACGTCTTTGTGGACTTCTTGCAAGCTGCTGCACGCTGGATGGCGGCGAGAAGCGCGGCCCGCAGCGCGGCGAGGCGAGGCGAGGCGAACGACGTGGGGGGGAGGGAACAGCAGGAGCTGGGGCCGCGGCTCTAGCACGGAACCAAGGGAGCCTCGCGCGCGGGGAAGAGCTGGCACCGGCAGACGCAGCCGTGGTGGAGCGCTGCGGCTCGGTACGGCGAGTGTGGCCACAGCGGGGTGCGGCACGCTCGCGCGCGGTGCATGGTGCTCGACGGAGGCAAGGCGGAGCTGCGTTGGGTGGTGGCGTTGGGGGCGCACGGGGCTCGGGCGCTGGGCAATGGAGGTGAAGCTGCGACGGGAGCGGAAGGCGCAATGATGGTGGCCCAGCGACGGCGCTCCTGGGGCGCACGGCGGAACGACGCGTGGGGCAACGACGGCTTCGGAGGGGCAGCGCCATGGGCTTCGATCCAGCGCATCCGCAGGGGCAGGGCGACGGCAGGCGCGAGACACTGCGATGGCGGGCGCGGCCATGGCGATTTCTGCGGAATATATTTGGTAAAATATAACTAATTTTTGTTAAAATACAATATAAATGTCTTATTCCTAATCAGGGGTAAAATCACAAACAACCATAAAAACTAGGGGCAAAATCACATGAGCATAGTTGTCATTTGTATAAAAGTTAACACCGTTAGGTGATGATGACGGAATAGGGGTAAAGTGGTGCTTCGTTTTAAAAACGCAAGGACAAATTCACAAAGTTAAAAAAATAGAAATAAAATTATAATTTTAATACAAAATAAAGGTACAAATGCAAGATCCCCTGAAAAGAACGCTGATCAAGTGTGGCAAGCATCCAAGTCGCTTGCGTGAATGTTGCAAATACAAAAAACTAAAACCTGTTCATGCGTCCACATACACCGTCGCACTGGATGAAGGGTCCGATTAAGCATCTGTATGCGTGAGTAGAGAGCGGAGCCAAGCATCATGCGTGCCGGAGCATCGCCTTGGAGCATAACGCCGAGCGGTGGCGGAGCGTCGCTGTTGTGCGTGGAGGAGGAACGGAGGAGCGGCTGATGGAGCGTCGCTGTAGTTTCCGGTGGAATCCACCGCGGTGGCGCTGCCTTCGCGTTCGCTTCTTGGCCGTGAACGCTGGTGCCGCAGTGCCGGACTCGGATGGCGAGATGGCCGCGACGCCGGGATGCGAGGTGGGAGCGGGCGGGAGGCCCAGCCGCATGGCGCAAGCGCGCGAGGAGGGGATCTGGGGCGGTGCAACCGATCCAGGGCGAGAGCGGAAGACACGACCTGGGTCTCCCCAACGCAATCTTCCCCGTTTCCTACCGTCTCGTTCCGTGCGAGGACGCCGTTTCTCATCCAGAAACGGTTTCTTTCTTTTTCCTCTCTCTTCATTTAATTCATTGACACATCAGCAAAATATTTATATAACAAACTAATTAATACAAATTAAAACTATCATAAATATAGTATTGAAAGTGTCCTGAGCCTGTGTCACTGCGTTCTCCGTGACTATGTTAATTTTATAAACTTTGTTTTTTTATTAAATATCACTTTAATATCGATATTTAAATTTTATAGTATTGTTAGCTATCTCACGTCATGGACACGCTACTTAGTATTATTTATTATAAATTTAATTAAAGATGAAATTAATTTTGACTTTTTAAACGAGGTGGTGGCTGCATTTAATCTGGAGAGGGAGCTGGCCACACACCCGTCGTCCATCGTTGCATTTGCAGCCAACGTCGAACGCCTGGCCCAGTGGGCAGTGGCCCACATTTGCACAGCAGCTACAGGCTCACTCTCAGCACTCTCACACCCCGAAATACCACCTCAAAAACCAAAAAGAGAAAAAGAAAAAAAAGAAAAGAAAAGGGAGGCGAAACCCTTCTCCCCCCGCCCCAACCCGATCTCTCTCGCTCCCTCCGGTCCCCTCTCCGCCACCTCATCGCCGGCTCGCTCCCAAAATCCCCCGCGCTGGACGCCGCCCCCGCCTCCTCCTCCGCCTCCGCCGCGCCATGCCCGTCGGCGCCTGATTCATGTCTCAGCCCCACGCCGCCGCTGCCGCCTCGAAGCGCCCCTTCTCGTCCACCACCACATCCCCGTCCCCGACCTCCTCCCCTGCGACGCGGCTTATGAAGAAGGCCAAGCACCCCGCCGCCTCCTCCTCCTCCGCGGGGACCGTCGAGAAGAACGGCATCCACCTTGATACCGCCGTCGCCGCCGCCGCCACGGGCGGGGGCCGAACGAACGGCGAGGAGGATGCGGAGATGGTGCTCGTGGACCAGGACGAGCTCCCCGCGCCCAGCGCGCCGGCCTCCACGGGCGTTGCCGCCAACCTCTTCCGTAAGAAGGCCACGCTCCCGCAGCCGTCGACCTCCTCCCGCAAGCCCCTCCGCATCAAAATAGGTGCGCCCCCAATATCTTATTCTGCGGAATTGCTTACTCTGCGAGTCTGGTGCGATTGGTCGTCACTGAGGGGGCATGTGGCCGCAATTGATTCCAGTCCTGTTGTTTCGGATATGTTATTTGCCGCTCGCAGGCTAGCTCAAAGCTTTTTCGTTGCCTGGTATCAGGGTTAAAATTCACTAGCAACAACTTTCAGTTCACAGATCACTTGCTTATCCCTCACTCCCAGCCGCCACCTGGACCCACCTAAAACTAGCTCTTTGATGGACGCAATATGGAAATTGGCTAGATCTGTACATTGTTTCTGGAAAACTGGTGTTCGGTAGCCTACTATGGCATTTTAGGTTTTCTTTTTTTTTTGGGAATTGATTATTGTTTGGGGCATTTCATATTTTATACCCGTTCATACCATCACACTGATCAGAAGAGGGATTTGCCATAGGAAACATGATACTTCTGTTGAGTGGCTTGTGTTTAGTTGTTTGCTTCTGTATATTTCAAGTACTTACTTTGTTTTGTCACACTGTTTATCTGTCTTTCTAACTTATAAACGAGAGAGAGCCAACCAAGAAGGATCTGTTTTACACTAAGAAGAATTAGGCACCCAAATTTAGTCAAAGGGGAATAGAATCTTGGTGGTGGACTGGTGTACACTGACACCTCACCCCCAGTAACTGAGCTGGAGTCAGTTCCTATTTGATTAATTATACCTCAAGTATCATGGCTTGACATTTGTTGGCACCTATATGTGACAACCTCCAATATTGGGAATGAGAGTTCTATTCTTTTGAAACCATTTTTATCATGATGTACTTCTCCTTCAGCACACACTATTTGCTGATTCCTTTTACTTGCTACCACACCAGTTGCTGGCAAATTCATATTGAACACATGGTTGCAAATCTTATAAATCACGAGTCACTAACAAATACATGCTGAACATGTGTATTTGAATTTCAGAAATCATTGTTTTTTCTCTCCACAGCCTTTGCTTAATGTCATAGCACTATGTCTAAATGCCATTCTGGCTGTCTTGCATTCATTAGGTCAACCAAAACTGCCAAAAAACTTCGAAGAGGATACATGGGCGATTTTGAAGGATGCTATCACAGCTATTTTTCTCAAGCAGAAACTTTCTTGTGATGTTGAGAAACTCTATCAGGTTATACTTCTGTTGCTGACACTGTAATATTCATGCCCCCACATTAGCATTTGAGTACTTTATAATTGTTTTTGTACTGCAGGCTGCTGGTGATCTTTGTCTGCACAAGCTAGGGGCAAACCTATACGAACGAATCAAGAAAGAATGTGAAATACACATAGCTGAAAAAATATCAGCATTAGTAGGCCAAAGCCCAGATTTGGTTGTATTTTTGTCTCTGGTCCAAAGAACATGGCAAGATTTTTGTGATCAGATGTTGATTATTCGTGGTATTGCTTTACTTCTTGATGTAAAATATGTCAAGAATGTGGCGAATATTTGTTCAGTGTGGGATATGGGACTGCAACTGTTCCGCAAGCATCTATCACTATCCCCGGAGATTGAACACAAAACTGTAACTGGCCTTCTCAGATTGATCGAGAGTGAGAGGTATGCTTGTTCTTCTGTGATAAGTTCTGTTAGTGATATGTGTACTTCATGGTCTATTCTATTACTCTTTGTGAACTTGTCTTGTGATTAATCGATGATACAAGGCCAGACTTACTTTACAGTTGATTGCATATAATATAGGGTCATGATTCTTTCAAATCAAAATCTGGAAATTACCTATATTTTTGTATATTGAGAATTTAAGGTGGTATGCCTTTAACGCAAAATCTGTAGCATTCAGTCTCCAAACCTACATATTTTTGTGTATTCTTTACATTAATTCAATAAACAGTTACAAAATCCAGTATGGAAGGGACTTTGACATATTGCTTATTTAATGTGAAGTAACATGCGAAGAGATGGAGATAGAACAGAACAAATGATGTCAATAATACTCGAATCTGCAATGGATAGTCGTAGTTGTATGCCCATATCCTTGTAATCCTATTACACAATGCCAATTTTATTTTTTTTGAAAACACAATGCCAAATCTGAACCGCGTGAACAGTATAGGACTATATGACCATATCATGATCCTGGCAAGCGATGACTGAGCCAGGCCTGCTGCAGGCCCGACTTTGCTTTGCCTGGCCTGGGTTGGGCGTGGCTAGCATGAACAGAGTCCGAAACACCCCAACTTTAATATTCGGCTCTCACTTTCTAAATAAAATAGTATTCCATTTACATTTCAGTGAGAATATTAAATACATATGGGATATGTATGTTCATGTGGCTTTTGGTTTGGCCCAGGGCATGCTCATGCCTGTGAACCTTAAAGTTGATGCCTATGCCTTATCCTGGCCTGGATTTTTCTACACTTTGCTGTGTGGATCACGGATGCCCATGAACAGATCCAGCAACGACTATTATCACAATTGAAGAAACATGAATCCTTTCCTTTGGCCCACATGCCGTCTTCAATGTCTTCTTAACTCTGTTAGTTTGATTGAATGTTACAATATTTGTAGATCCACATGCGACTCAATCTCAGCGTCCTTGAGGCAAAATAGTGTTTTGCCAATTTGCCTCAAGTTACTTGATTGTGTTCCAAGTTCGTATGAACATAAAAAAACTCGACCTGCAGGGGGTAAGACCACCCCCCGGGCATTGTTGTGATAGAAGAAGACCTTCTCACACAGGCCGAGAAAAACCCCAAACCCCTGCCCCACCCTGTCACAGGGGCACCGTTGCCCTGTGAGAACTGGGCTGAGCCTTTTGACCTGTGCTTTGGCCATGGGACAGACGAGGGGATTTTTTTAACCAAACATTCTGATTAGTATGTTTTGGGCCATTTATTTCCCCACCAAAGTCATGCTTGTACTGTAGTGTAATTTGGTACTGGCTATGTTGAATGGGGGAACTGAAACAGCGTACTGGGACTTTAAGACATGTTGCTTTCTTTTAGCTAATACAACAACAACAACAAAGCCTTTAAGTCCCAAACAAGTTGGGGTAGGCTAGAGTTGAAACCCAGCAGAAGCAATCAAGGTTCAGGCACGCGAATAGCTGTTTTCCAAGCACTCCTATCTAAGGCTAAGTCTTTGGGTATATTCCATCATTTCAAGTCTCCTTTCTTTTAGCTAATAAGTGGAAAAATGGTGGTTCACTTGTGCTAGCTGTGGTAATTGCATGTGTGTGGAACACATCTTATATAACTGAGCTTGTGAACTGAAAGAGTGTCTGCCTCGTAAATTATTCATAATCCTGTCAATAATAGATATGTCTATTCAATAATTTTTCATTTTTCTGATCAGGCTTGGTGAAGCAATAGATAGGACATTACTTAGTCATCTTCTGAAGATGCTTACTGCTCTTGGAATGTATTCTGAGAGTTTTGAAAAGCCCTTTCTTGAATGCACTTCTGAATTTTATGCTACAGAAGGTGTTAAATATATGCAGCAATCTGATATTCCAGACTACCTGAAGCATGTGGAGGTAAGGATGGATATATTTCCTTATGTTCTTCATGTTATTTGCTCATGTAGAACCAGTCAGGCACACCATTTAACTGATAATATGCACCTGAGCTGTGCAGTCGAGGTTACAAGAAGAACATGAAAGGTGTATTCTATATTTGGAAGCTAACACAAGGAAGCCACTGATTGCAACTACTGAAAAGCAATTGCTAGAACGTCATACATCTGCAATTATTGAGAAGGTGACTATTTGCCTTTATAATATCTATTTCTTTTATGTAGCCTGAGCAAGCATGTGATTTTGTTTCTTGTTGGGCTCGATATCCATAAACTGCAATAATGCTTTACTAACCTGCTTTTGTATGTTGGTCCTTGTTTTTGTGGTGTTCTTCAGGGGTTCACTATGCTCATGGATGCAAGTCGTATAAATGACCTCTCGAGGATGTACAACCTTTTCCAGAGGGTTAATGCTGTTGAGCTGCTAAAACTAGCGCTTAGTTCATATATCCGGGCTACAGGCCAGGCCATTATTATGGATGAGGAAAAGGACAGAGAATTAGTTCCATTTCTTCTCGATTTTAAGGCGTCACTCGACAAAATATTGGAAGAAAGTTTTGCCAAGAATGAGGCTTTCTCCAATACCATAAAAGATTCATTTGAGCACCTTATCAATCTAAGACAGGTGTCTGATTTGATCTTTATTGTTCTACTTGACTGGTGTTTCAGTTACTGTCTTTTTATTGATGTCAATGTAATTCTTTTCGTAGATGTCTTTTTACTGTCTTCTATCATCTTGTTTATTATTCTCTCTGGTTATGATGTCCATGTCGTTATAATGTGAGATCTTTGGCCAATAGTTTCTGCCAATTTACCAAAATATTTTTTGTGATCATCATGTAGAAAGTTACAGAATCAGAAAAACTTACTTATGCTATACTTAAATAACCAACTCCTAGAAATAATGGCATCGGTTTTGACTTGAATTTTTGGACCTACATTTTTATAAGAAAAGATGGCTAAAATAGTTATTCATTTTGTGTGTGTTGATAATTACCACATCCAAAGTCTTCCAACTTTAAAAAATAACAAACAATTTTGCCTCTAATTTTGTTAACTTGTAGTCTGTTGTAGATAAGCTTTCCATTCTTTGTGGAGTAATTTAGTTTTTTTTTGTTCTATATGTCCCCCTCAAATAATGGGTCCCATGCTTGTTTCATGACAACAGAACCGACCTGCGGAATTGATTGCAAAGTTTCTTGATGAGAAACTTCGAGCTGGCAATAAAGGGACATCAGAAGAAGAGCTGGAGGGTATACTTGATAGAGTTTTGGTCCTGTTTCGGTTTATACAAGTAAGTTATTGATCTATTTCATTTGACTACTAAATTGCATTTCCTCCTGATTGGCAATATAATTTCTACTTCTCTTCGTGAGTTGCATGTTTGATGCACTACAGATATGGGCCCCTTTTTGCTCAAATATGCACTCTATGTACTAGAAAGGTATAGGGGGAAATAGCCTTGCAGGCCAATTTTTTTTTCTGTCACAGCTGGGCAAAACTTGTGCTGTGAAAACGATCATCCCAATTTTGTCTGGTCAAATTTTGGCCTGGTTATGAACCAAGTGGAGGCTACCTGCCAAACTGAGATCAAATTTTGGCTTGGCCTATTGGGGCGGGCAACCAAACAGATCCTATCCAATGGATGTTATAAGTTTGGGCCTTCCCAAACATGGTTATGTTGGTGCCTTAAAATAACATTGTGATTTTGGCTTGAATATTTAGGTGAGCCTGAGAAGCCTTCCTTACTAGGCTTCTATGAAAAGATAAAGTGCCAAACCCTTGATTTTTTTTTGTATGATGTAATAAATTTGTTAAACAATTGAAACTAACAAAATTGTTTAAGTGTTAACTCTGAAAGGGAAAATTCAATTTATATAATAGTTTAATTGCAAGCTTTATATTTCATCATCTGCAGGGTAAAGATGTATTTGAGGCATTCTACAAGAAGGATCTAGCTAAGAGGTTGCTGCTTGGGAAGAGCGCATCAATAGATGCTGAAAAATCGATGATCACAAAAGTAATAATGTCTTTTCTACTGTTTTCACATGTTCTGATATATGTGGACAAGAACAACTTTACCAACATGCTTCTGTTTGTAGCTCAAAACTGAGTGTGGAAGTCAGTTTACCAACAAGCTGGAGGGAATGTTCAAGGTAGCGTTAGCTGTTTTTACTATGATGATATTTCTAGTCTTATCTTATTTTGCGAACCTGTATAGTTGTATCGTTAGATGCATCTGAAATATCAATATTTCATTATATAGATTGAGTACCCTTTTAACATCTGTTTTACTCTCTGGTTTTGTAGGACATTGAATTATCCAAAGAAATAAATGATTCATTCAGGCAATCATCTCAAGCTAGGACAAAGCTTCCCTCTGGCATTGAAATGAGTGTCCATGTGCTTACAACAGGGTAATATTTTTTGCCCCATTGCTTTGATACGAACTCTCTGTAGAACATGATCCGTTTAGATAGGTTTGTAAACCTGATCTCATGCATGTGCTCCATTGTCCTAGCATGGGAGGCTGGCCTTTTGATGTTGTTTGTCATGTTTATGTAGTTCTGATAATAAAATATGTTGATTTACAGCTATTGGCCTACATATCCACCAATGGACGTGAAACTCCCACACGAACTGAATGTGTATCAGGTTAGTATATAGTCTTTGGTGGTGGTGGTAAATATTTTAATGTCAGTCTGAATATTTTGTTTAATCCTCTCCCCTTTTTCTGAATACTTTGTTTAATCCTCTCCCTCTTCTGACAGGATATATTTAAAGAGTTCTATTTGAGCAAGTACAGTGGAAGGCGTTTAATGTGGCAGAATTCTTTGGGACACTGTGTCTTGAAAGCGGACTTTCCCAAAGGCAAAAAGGAATTCGCAGTGTCATTGTTTCAGGTGCATTTTCATCTCATTTTTCAGTGCTTATCAGTTGAAACCATCTGAGATCAATAATTATATTTTCCCCTAACTTATTGCTGCCCATCAGAGTGTGGTTTTGATGTTGTTCAATGACGCACAAAAATTAAGCTTCCTTGACATCAAGGATTCCACTGGTATCGAGGATAAAGAATTGAGACGGACACTGCAATCACTTGCATGTGGTAAAGTTCGGGTTCTCCAAAAGGTGTGATCCTTTTTTTTTTTTGCCTCATCATCATTTTGCATTTTCAGTATGCAGCTTCTTTAATTGTAACCTATGTTTTCAGATACCAAAAGGGAGAGATGTAGAAGATAAGGATGAATTTGTATTCAATGAAGATTTTAGTGCTCCCCTCTATCGCATAAAGGTAATATATGTACACATACACTTTATATTTGATATGGTCATTAAGCTTGAACTGTTGTGCACTTCCAGGTAAATGCAATTCAAATGAAGGAGACGGTAGAAGAAAACACGAGCACCACTGAGAGAGTGTTCCAGGATCGGCAGTATCAGGTGCTTTAATTCTATATGCTAGCAAGTGAAAATCTGTTAGTTTAGTTTCAGAATGGGAGCTAGTTCTTTTGTGTATTTTTTTATTTTCGCGATGGATTATCCTTGGAACTTGCAGTACATAGTTAGCTTGAACAACATGTGCTTTTGCTTGCTCAGTTGATATGTGCTTGATGCTTTATGATAGAAAAGTGAGTCAACTCCACAGTATACTATGTCCAAGACTGGACCCCTTTTTCTTCATTTTTTTTATCTTCTAATAGGTTAAATATGTAAATCGTATCCTTTTGAATTGAAATTTGTAATGCATAATTGACAAGATTCTTTTGGTTCTATAATGCAGGTTGATGCGGCCATAGTTCGAATAATGAAGACGCGGAAGGTCCTCAGCCACACCCTTCTAATAACGGAGCTTTACCAGCAGGTGACACTTCAGAATATTAATTAATCTAGCTGTGTATTTTATTTACCTCACGGCTAACTTGACCCCCTTTAACCGTTGGGTTTCATCCATGTCCCTCCTTTCAGCTCAAGTTCCCTGTTAAGCCAGCTGATATCAAGAAAAGAATAGAGAGCTTGATCGACCGGGAGTACCTGGAGCGGGACAGGAGTAACCCCCAGATCTACAACTATCTGGCTTGACAGCACTTTGGCGGATCATTAAAGACACCATGCTCACTTTATTTTCCAGTTCCTTGTTCTTGTTTTTGTTCTCTGGAAGGGAGTTGTAGCTGTTGCAACGTGTCTGTATACGAGAACGATTTTTTTCAGTATCAGTATAAAATGTATAAGCATATAATGCATGTATGTGTTTACATGTTTTCTTTGGCTATTCACGTCGTCTTCCCTGGTGCGCCGCGATCTGGACAATGTGCCTGGTTACGTTTCATTCTCGCTTAATTTCCGAGTGTGGACATTTTTCTTAGGGCCTACTATCTCCGTTATAAAACGAAAGATGTTTTATTTCTGTCATGTCAAATTTAAAAACTTAAGTCCATTTATCAGTAGAGAAACATCCTGATACTTCAGTATAAGAAACATCCTCCCTACCTCCCAAAGTGGGTGCAATTTTAGGATAATGTTAAGCCATATGATTTAAAGTTTGATCAAATTCATTATATAAAAAGAACAATATTTATTAATAACAAATACTTTGTGCACTATATCTATTTGGAGTTATATATGTTGAAAATATGGATTACAACTTTTTTTTGAAATGGAGGTAATACTCCATCCCAAATTTTAAGTTATTCTAACTTTTTTTGAAAATAAAAGCATCTCAAGTTTATATAATAAAATAATAATATTTATGATATACCAAACAAGTATCATTATATTCTTCATTAATTATATTTTTATACTATATCTGTTTGATGTCATAAATCTTTTTTTCTATAATTTTAATCAAACTTGAGATGTTTTGCCTCTCTAAGAAAGTCGGAATGACTGAACAACCACGTAAACAAGACTCGTAACAACTATTCGATTTATATCAGTAAAAAGGATAGCCAAGTAAGCAAAAGTTGATCCGATTTCATCTGAAAGTGACGAGTGTCTCGCATATAAAAGTAAAAAACTTACGCATGATTACAATCTAGAGTGTCTTTGGCCGAGCTCCGCAGCGGCTCTGGCTCCTCACCTACTGTGCTGCAATAGCACTCGAAAAACAACTTCGGCTCCTTCTGTTATTGCCTACGAAACCGACGGAGCTAGCGGAGCTCCTGTGGCTCCATGCTACAATGCTGAAGCCGGAGAGAGTCCGGCCAAATGGGCCCTTACACCCTGAAGATTTAGTTTACATTGAATATTTATTCTAATTTAATATTAGCTAAAGTTTAGAGTGATTAGAACAAAAATATCTGGGCCGTTCAAGGCCCACAAAGCATTCCTTGAAGCCCAAGTATGGAAACCGTGCAGGCTGTTCCAGCGGAACCAGTACGGCCAGTCGTCGTCTTCTCTACCTGGCGCTCTCCCAGATCAGATCACCACCACCGTCCACCACCGCCACCGAGCTCTCCGGTCGCCGGAGATCGCCCCCTTCTCCGGCGACCCCGCGTACGCCGATCTCAGTAAAGGTTGGTTACCCACGTTGAAACCCCAGCTCGCGCCTCCCACCCCTGAGTCAGTCACGCCGCTAAATTTGGCTCATCCGCCATTCGGACCAGCGCCGCTAGGGTTTTGGCCCGATGGATCCACTCCGGAGCTACTTGGGGCGGCTCCTTCTCGAAGAAATCACACCGGTGGTGATGGTGCTGTCCACACCGCTCGCTGAGGCCGCCTGCCGTAAGAACGGCCTCAGCTTCGTCGACATGCTCTCCCCGTTCTCGCTCTTCAAAAAAATCGACGGTGACTGGCCTCCCAATGCTTGGTTTCAGATGACCCTGTGCTGTATTTTGTTCTCTTTTCGTTTGTTTTGGTTATGTGATCTCATGGAAGGTTCTGTCTCTGTGCCCGCGATTGAGCAGTGCCCGTGCGGACGGCGAGCGAGGTGCCGTACAGGCTGCAAATGTTTAAGATTCGGATGGTTTACGCGTCCGACGTCCGGAAGGAGGACTGCGAGGTGATCCTCAAACATTCTGGTATTGCTATCTTAGGTGGCTGTAGCTACTTCAGTGTTTGATGACCTCGATGTTTGGGAACAGGTGGCAGACGAGATGATTAAGCCGGTAGTTTCTGAGGCCAATGAGAAGGCTCTTCCGGATTTGCTTTCAGACCCGCCTCAGGTTGAAGATGTACTTGGAAGTAAGATCCCGTGCTTTGCTTCTGCATGATAATATGGATGTTCTACTCCAATGAAGTTCACATTGCTGTGTTTCTCTGATAATTGGATTAGTGGTGGAAGGCGGCAAAGATTTTTTTCTAGGGGGGAGGTGGATCAGAGTAGAGAATTAGGAAATCAGTATATACTGCAAATTAGAGCCGAACTACTATCGAACCATGTAAAGTTCTAAAATAAATTAGGAAATGATCTCAATTGATTACATAAGGTCATTCCGCTTGCCACTTCAGCATTGTTGTGCATGTTGTGGCGGCGGCAGGGACGCAAATGTTGATGATGATGTGTGTGGTGAGCCTGGATGTTGCTGAGGTGACTAGGCAAGATGAGCTTGTCTGGTTGTTTTCCATTTATAGGAGAGGGAAATAGTGATCTGCGACTGGTATGTTGTTCCGGCAATGTCGACAGGAGTTAATGGGCTAGTTTTTTTTTAGCGAGAACACAGCAGGAGAATTCAGTTAATGGGCCAGTTGAAGCTACTTTTGTGGCCCTAATGGGCAGTGGACTTGGGATGCATTGGAGGGCTGCAGTTGGGTCCTCGGTCCTCAAGACTTTTCCTGGGTCAGGGTGCGTGCATGGGGTGGGTTAGCCCAGGCTGGCAATGGTTAACCTCTTAACCTTATTAACCTTTATGGTGAGGAATAGTGGAATGTGTGTTCATAAACAGAAAGAATAGTAAAATGTGTGACCTGTGAACTAGGAATGGTTTTTAATGGGCAGCCACATGCTTTCCATCAAGATCGCTTGGTGCAGTCGTAGCATAATTTCAGGTGATTGTTTGTAGTAGTGAAGTTGCTTTGCGTGCATTCTATTGTATGGATGGAGAGCTCAAATTGCTTGCAAATGGTCCATCAGAAGAATGCGCTGCTTGGTGCTCTGTGCATCTTTGTTACTAAATTGGGTTTTTTTTTTTGGGAAATTGCTGGGAAGAGCTTGACATTGTCACTTCAAATGTCTTCATTTCTATTTGGCTGGTACTCTGATGTATCTTACTGGAAGATGTGATGTGTGTCTCTTATTGATGCTTCTTTGGTTGTTACGTGCTTTAGTCAAGTCAATTCCAATATCTGCAAAGCTCAGCTGTGCAAATTTTGTTTGATACCTTTTATTTGCATCCTGTATATGATTCCTTAATTATGTAATTCCAGAGCCTGAGGCCGAGCTGTGCCCATTGTGGATTAAGAAGTTCAATAGAGAGCTAATGCGGACACTCTCATTTTCGGAGCATGAAACATTTGACCATCCTGTGGCATGTGAGATTTGACACTTCCTGTTCTTAGCTGGTTATTCTGTTTGCAGAATATGTTCTTGCTTATGCTTTAAGTTATTATTAACAGGTCTTCTAGTTGTGTCATCAATGGACAAAGAACCAGTCAATAAATTTGTTGATCTCTTCAACACAAATCAGTTGCCATCTCTTTTGAATGATGGCATAATGGATCCACAGATTTTGAAGCATTACCTTGTACTTCATGACCAGCAAGAGGGGCCACAAGACATGTATTGTTCTTCACCTTTCTTTCTAACTAAAGAAGATACTCTTACTTAAGCAATTTATGATGTTAAAATCATTTTTTTAAAACATAGCTGGCGTATGTTTAGACCAACCCCTTCAGAATTGTCAAACATAATGCTTGTGAATCTGTATTGGCAAAATGGTTGAAAAACCTGAACTGCCTACATATTTTGTAGTTCACAATTTTTAGGATTATTTGTCTTCATCAAGGTTAGACAAGGTTCCTCATAGTGGTTAATTTCTTATGCGTCCCTATTGCCTTTAGTATTCATGCTTCCTTGCTTTCCTAATTCTATGCGTTTTAACTTCTAAGGGCCTTTTACCCCTAGGCCTTAACTCTGTGCTTCTTCTGCAAAGGAAATTGTTTTACATCCGACACCCATGTGTCCGGCAGCTTTGTTTGTGGGACCATAACTGTGTTGTGTCTGGTCGTAAACACATATTGGTGATCGGGGCGCACATAGCGACATAGTCTATAGGGTGATTACTCAGCACAATAATTTCTATGAAACTATGACATGCTAAATAAAGACAGTTAAATATATGGAAGTGTTCTTCACGATAAATAAATGACATATAATTTACATTATTAATGTATAAATCCTTATATATTGATGATCAAAGTGAAGAACTTTTGATTTACAGGAATCCTAAAATTACATGTATTTTGAATCAGTGGCAGTATGGATTAGAGTAAAAGACAACAACAACAACAACATAGCCTTTCAGTCCCAAGCAAGTTGGGGTAGGCTAGAGTAAAAGAAAGTAGCATAATTTTATAATATATTTAAAAGTGGAAATTAAAATTGTTTAAAAAATTGAAATCACTAGCATTAAAAATCAGGGCATCAATTGTCGAAGGGGTATTTCGGAACGCTCGTCCTTCAAGTCTTCAAGTCTTCAAACTTCCCTAAAAGTGGTATAGCCTTTTAGGGAAGTTTGAACTCCTCTCTTGTACCAGGAAGCTGAAGCCCTCTCCTTAGCAGCTTCTCATAGAAGCAAACTTCTGAAGGAAGCAAACTCCGATTAAAAGGGCATGTGGTTTCTCACATAATCCCCACTAAAACTAAATACTATTTTTTGCTAAATGGGTAAGAACTTGGGGTAATATTTTGTGGCTTAACTTCTTACATTGGTCAAACAAGGAGCAGATAACCTGATATATCGAATTATTATTTCTTGCAATTTTGTAATCTATTTCTTTGTTATAGCTGATTTGCCAAGTCTTTATGTTTTCAGTCTTTGTTGTCATATAGTTGCAGAAAATCCTTTAATATACACAGTTGCAGAAAATCGTTTAATCTTTCTTTTTAATAGCTGATTTGCCAAGTCTTTATTTCCAAATCCTTT